GTGCAGTACAAAAATTATAAGCACTAAGAAAAAAATTGTTTGCTAAAAACACAAATAATAAGAAAAATTACTTTACAATAAACCTAAAAGAGTTTTATTAAAAAAAATACAATTTTAGAAAAAAAAATTTTGCAAATTTCGGAAAATAAATTCTTACATTTGCCTTTTATTTCAATAAAAAATTAAATAAAAAAATTTTAGGAAATAAAAAATTAATTGGAGAGAAAAATGTATACTACTTAAGCAACTATTCCTATTCTGCATTAAAATATTATACATTTGTTAAAAAATAATTAAGAATTTAAAATAAATTATTTCCTTAAGATGCATTTAATCGCAAATAACTGTTTTTAACTAAAAACGGTTAAAGAAAATAATAATTTAAATTATTCGAAGATTAGAAAGCGCTTATATTTTTAACAAACTTTCCTACAAAAAAAAAATAAAAATGTGTCAAAATAAAAAGTAAAAAAAAAAATACAAGGCGAACTTAGTGGGATCGTCGGTTCGAATCCTACTGAAAGAAGTCTGATGAGGAAAGAAATCTTGTTGCTGTTTCAAACTGGTTCAATTTCCGCTACTTTGAATTACAGTTAATAACATGCTGACATGAAGTTCGGATTATTGGAAGAAACTGCGAAAAAGCAGGTGTGCAGAGAGCATGAGAAAAATGTGCTAATGGCTGCCAGTTCATAATATAAATTTCTACGCACGCATGTATATGTATATGCATGTTTCTCTGCAAAAAAAGGACACAGCTCAAAATTGAAAAAAGCAAAAACCGTGCCACTGTTAAAGACCTTGTTTCTAGTCTAATCCTTATCTAATCCTTACTATGTACTTTGCATTAGTACATTAGTAATCTTTTGCTCTTACTTTAGTAAGCATTAGACGTGCATTAGACAAAGATTAGGGACATGAGAAACTTAATAGTAGTAATAGTTTTTTTTTGAGTTTTGAGTTGTGTCGTTATTGCAGAGGACCATCAATATACTATATGTACATTAATTTATCCGAATACATACGTATCTCAAAATCGCTTAGTGAAGATTAATGATCACATCTTATTCACAGCATTTGCATTAACATATCAACATTATGGCGCTTTAACTCAATCCAAAGCGCGAATCAACCAGCCTTTTTCTATCCTGGCCAGCCGCCGCAGCCACCAGCGACAAGCGACTACACATATATGTATTTAGAAATTAAACTCACCGCTGACTTTTCTGCCAAACTGACAGGCGTTCGCGGAATACGCTTGTCTAGCAACCATCGCTCACTGTTAACCTACTTAATTTAGCGCCTGCACTGAGTGGCATAAGGCAGAGACCCGAACGAGGCTGCGTACACAATACAATTTATTTACCATAAGTCGAACTGTGGCGTCTGTGCGAAGGGGAGCAGAAGGAGCGCTAAAGAGCTACAGTAACAGAGCTGGAGCTGGGCGTCAACTTCTACTGCTTCTTTTTTTATTTTTTCTGTTGCATGCGCGCATTAGCGCAAAATGTCAAATATGACAGCTCCACTGACAAGCGCCAAACGTTCAGGAAAACAGCAACAAAATAAAGGCGGATAAGCAAATGGGCGACCAACCGCATTAAATAAATGTGTAAACCAGGCGATTGCTAAAAAGCGAATCATTAAAGAGTCTGCTTACTAAACTATTTTATGGGCAGTTGAAATGCAAAAAAAAGGTAAATATTTTTAAAACAACATCTAAAAATTTAAAGAAAATGAAAGTAAAAAAGCCAAAAAAATAAAATAGGATTCTAAAAATTAAATGATATAAAAAAATATTTTTTTCTTTTCAACACAATAAAATTTGAAAATTAAACGAAAATGAAATTAATGTAAAAAAACAACTTAATTAATAAAAAGAAGAAAAAACACAAAATTGCTTTCTAAAAATCAAATGAAATTTAAAATATAACAAAATCTGAAAATTAAAAGAAAATTAAGCTTTAACAGGCAACATTTTATGTAAACAGAAAAATAAAATAAGTTCCCATAATTTAAATTAAATAAAAAAAAGATTCTCTCTTTAACACAATAACAGCTAAACATTAAAAACAAACAAATTGTGAAAGCAAAAATATAAAAAAATAAATAAATAAGAAAATTTTCTAAGAAGTAAGTGCAATTAAAATATATACATTTATTTTTCTTTATAAAACAATAAAATATAAAAGAAATTTAAATTAAAAATTAAAAATAATGTAAATTAAAAAAAAAAACATGTAAGAAAGTCTAAGTTCGGGCGGGGCCGAACATTAAATACCCGGCGCAAGTATTACATATATGCCTTTTCACCTTTCCGAAAGCTACCGCTACATGGTAAGCCAGGGTGTATCAATTTTGAATAAATAAGCGTCCTTAAATTTCGAAATATTGACGTTTCAGGCATTTCTAAAATTTACCGTTATATGAAAAGCCGTAATTTTAGTCCGATTTCAATAATTTTGAACGTTTTGCTTTTATGTGGCAAGCACAATAACCATACCGAGTTTGGTACAAATTGGTAGAACCGTTACCGAGATACATATATGTGATCATAAGTGGGCGGTGCCACGCCCATTTTCCAAAATTTTATGATAAGCGTATTTCCTGGTAAAGAATTGTTGCAAGCATCAATTTTGAATAAATTAGCTTTAATATTTACTGATTTATCGAAGATTTCGTATTTCTCCAAATTACCGTTATATGGGATGTGGGCGTGGTTATTGTCCGATTTTTGCCATTTGGTATCCTGTACCAAGGCCAATAACTGTGCCAGGTTTGGAAGAAATCGGTGCAGCGGTTGCCAAGATATACACATGTAACACTAAGTGGGCGTGGCTACGCCTATTTTTCAAAAATTTATAATATTCTTATTTTTCGTCTAAAATTTATTGCAAATATCAATTTTGAGTGAATAATCTTCGGTAGTTACTAAAATATCGCAGTTTTCGTATTTCTGAAAATTACCGTTATATGGGAGGTAGGCGTGGTTATTGTCCGATTTTGCCCATTTTCAATACCATCCGTCCTACGCCCGAAAGAAGTACACGTACCAAGTTTCGTTAAGATATCTTAATTTTTACTCGAGTTATCGTGTGCACAGACGGACAGACGGATCATTTATGTATACATTTGTCTATATCTATCTCGATTCGTTTTGCCTGTTACAAACAACCGTTATGTGAACAAAGTTATAAGTTGTGCACAAGTGCGCTCGGGTATAAAAATCCACTGCCCGAGACTCGAACTCGGATCACTCGAGTCGACACCTGTGCTTTGCTAACTTGGAAATTGCGACTGCTGTAACGACGCGAGCTAAATGATATACAAATGCTTCATTACAAAATAGCTTTTCACCACGAATGCTGAATGAGAGAGCTTGTTTTGTAAGGCTTTTGTGCTAGACTAACAAAAGCCTTTCGAACTACCTTGTCATCTGTCCTTCATAAAGCACAAAAAGCTAGAAAACATGCGGGCATAATTAATTAAATTTTGGTGGAAATCTCTACAAAGTCTATCAGCCCGATTAGCCGTCATTCAGGCTTGGTGGCCTTAGAGCCCACTAAATTTTAACTAGCTGTCTTTAGAGACCTAGACACCATTTTGTGGAGCGCGGTGAAATCTTTTTATGTTAAGCCGGTTAGCATCTGGCGGGAATCTTTAAATATATATATATATTTTTTAATCTAAGTACAATGTTAATGGGTTCTCATTCGGAGCTCCTTGCTACATTTAAAGCAGCAATCTGGATAATTGGTAAAAGGTGACGCAGAAAGTGGCAGGTAAGTTGCTCTTCCAATCCACTTATAACAATGCCCCTTCTCACAACCAAAGCTTTAGTTAGGGTTCAACTAATAATATACTTTTTTTTCATTGCAGTGTTATATTTTACATGATTTACACACCTATCCGCGAATGCACGAATATACCAATTTATATACTTACATGCATAAACGTATATACTTATTATGAATCTACGTACGTGTAAATATTTATCTGTACTTATATCTTATTAACAACTTTTCGGCTTTGTACAAAGTCAATGTTCATTAAAATCAGATCAAAATATAAATTTAATTTAACCGCACGCGATCAATTACTTACATTTTATGCAATGGAGAGCCAAAGAATTTATCTACATAAAATAGAGTAATTTGTTGAGAATACCGGAGTTATTTTTCCATTGGAGTTTAATACAAATGATTAAAAAATAAAGTGGACCTTATTATATGTAGGAATATCTTCAGAGATGACGCAATGAATGTTATCTTTGCACTTTTCGCACAAGAATTATTTAATCGTTTTCAAAGGCCACAAGTAATTTAGGAACCTTAAGTCTATAGAAATTTAATGATCTTTTCCGAGCGCTTACATATGAGTCATTTATTTTGAGAGGGGCACAAGTCACTTGACAGCTCTTGTCAACGCTTCGGTTATTCGTTCAACTTCATCAACCAAAGGTAAAAGATTTCGTCATAGTTTATGACGAGAGAAAGATTTACAGATGCGTTCGGTTACAAGTAGACGGTCATTTAAGCACAAGAGGTACGAAGTGATTTCTGTTACTTTCAAAATAAACGGCACATATATGTATATATTCTCATGATGTGTACGAGTTAGGGAGGTGGAGTGGCTTAGAGGGAAAAGCCTTTCATGATCATCGTCCAATTAAAAACTCTGAATATTGTAGTATTGTGTAAAATATTCCATGCAACATTTCTCAAACTTTCTCTATCCGCCCCTGGGGATGAGTTGCCAGTAATCTGTCACATGATTTTAGAAACAACGGTATTTTTTTGTTCCAATTGATCCATGCTCAATAGACCGCAGTTGAATAAAAAGTACTCAAAATGCGCTGTATTGCAACGTAATTAAAATAACTTCCTACATGAAAATGCGATTTTCATGTTTTTGTGCTATCAATGATTTTAGTAAGTCGCTCATAAAAACATCATCCTATAAATAACAGGCGATCAAAATAATTATTGGCATTGTTTCGGAAAATTCGGTGAAAAATCTGCTCTCGACATGAAGTACTCTGCGTACGTAATTGTCGTCCTTTGTACGCTTAGTGGATTATTAAGGGTAAATATTAAAGAATCTCTAAACGAAGCTATGAATTTACTAGAATCAAATTTCAGGCTGAGCAAACATATACTGTGAAAAATGAGAGATTCGAAAGTTTCAATGGCATGAAGGAGACCGTATTTCATATGAGTGAATTAAAATTAATCGGACGGCAACGTCTAATTAATGGCACCGTCACATTCGACGACGACATGGCTAGCGACCACTATAAAGCCCAAATAGAGCTATTCTCCTCACCACAGGGCGATGATCAGTACAAGAAGTTGCCTATGGGTGTGCCGCGCACCCCTATTTGTGAGGCTATGAAAGATTTGTACACCAAAATACTGCAGCCGTCGCTTATTGAGGGGGAAAATACCAATTTCCCATTTATTCCTGAGGAAGGTCTTTGTCCTATACCGAAAGGTGAATACTACATAAAGAATGTGGAGCTTAACATCGACTCTTGGCCAAACCAAGCACCGCGTGGAATTATAAAAGCAGTGTTAACGCTTTTCAAAGACGAGATAAATGTCGGTGGCGGTACATTGTATATACGTATCGAAGATCGTGAATAAGCGCAGGAGATAGCGTATTGACTTTGGTAGTTAGTACTTAAAAATTATTAGCTATTGAATATGAAGTGAATATTATAAATAAATGTGGTAGTACATACATACATAGGTACATATTCGTACATACATATGTTCGCAGCAAATAATTAAAATTGTTTTTAAATTGAAATGAAGTGGGGCCTAACTGGGAAAAAAGATTTTCTCATATTTAGAATATCTTAAATCAATTTCATAAATAACTTAAATGAAGTTTTACAATATGGGTCGGAAACAAATGCTTTATTTGGAAAAGGGTCGCCAACCGTGTGAGTGTTAATCGAAAGAGGTATGGGAAGCCAGGTAAATCAAAATATGCTTAGGAAGGTTTTGTTTCGAAGATAATTTTATAAGAAGTTATCACCAGTTAAAAAGCCTACTTAAAATTATTCTGTTACCTTAATAAAATATTACGATATGGACGTCAAAAAATATATTCAAATTTAGGAGTACCATAAATTTCTTTATGACCCAATGATCGGATCCAAATTAGTATGGGACCACCTTGAAACACCATCTTTCCGATAAAAGAAGAATTATCAAAATCGATTACCGCGTGTTCATAAAAAAATATTCCGACGAAGTGATAACTTACCCCTTTTTTGGAGTCGGTCAAATGGCCACCCTATGAATGTAAACACCGCCCTATGTCTCGTAAAAAAAATCCAGTGTCGAATTTCCACAAGGAATTAAAATGACAAAAAGTTTATGCCATTTAAAAAAAGCCAACATTGTCATTCAAAAATTTTGTCATTTAATGCCTAGTGGAAATCCAGCGTAAGTCTCTCCGAAAAAATTCTTAAGCAGGGATCACACGATTTGCACATTTTGGCAGCTACAGGGTGGTGTTGTTCGGAAATTATTTTATTGAGCTGAACTCAAATTTCTAAGCAACACCACGCTGTGACTGTCGAAATATACAAATCTGTACAAACGTACAAATCGTGTGATCTTCGCTTCACAGTTTACATATATCTACTGCCCATAATTCCAGCATCGGAGCAAACATGGCCGAAAACTGCAGGATCACTTTAATGGTTAGAGCAAGTGCCTTCCCCTAGACTTAGGCCAAGGGCAAGCCGATTGTGATGCCATATGCAATATTTGTTCTCCTGCGAGTACAGACGTGCATTTTTTGTCGTAAGAACGCCATGTAATAAGCCTAGCGGTTTCACAGAAGGAGAGATTGCCCCAGCGTTCTTTTGCTGCTTGGAGTGAGAGAATTTGTGTTGTCAGCACATGACTTTAAAGCTTTCAAGGCCGCTTAACTGTCAGAATTTTTTCCTTGCGCCTTATGATTACGAGCCGAGTGGCCTCCAGGACATGAGTCACTTAATACTAGTACGTTTTTTTTTTTTTTT